TCAAAGAATCCTAAAAAAATAAGTGTATCGTGATTTATACAAAAATACTGAACAGCACATTTGTTTTTAACATTGATAATAAGTAAAACATTTCCTTGAGCACCAATTTTTTGTGATAATATTTCACAGTATTACAGTTTTTGCTATATTTTTGACAAAATAAATTCTTGGTCAGCATAACTCTTGGTGATCTTACTGACCCCATACTTTTGAATGGTAGTGTATAAACATATTTTAATTTAATAATAATACTTGTTTATTAATGTCTGATTGTAATTTTTAATGAATGACTAATTGTTTTTTAATGAATTATTGTTTGTTTTAACTTGCTCTTCTTCTGAATGGACATTTCTGCTGTGTTAGCAAACTTGCATTCGGTCTGGCTCCATTCTGGTGTGTATCGCACACTTTTCCCATCTAATTAATTCCCGATGGATAAAAATCAAGTCCCACCCTACATATTTTCTTATTTATTGTCATGTTTCACTCGAAACTACATCATATTGCACAAGTAAAATGGGTTGCAAATAACAGTTCATGTTGATTTTAACTACGAAGAAACAAAGATCTGCAGTCTTCCTGGAGGAGCTACTTTAGGACTGAAACATCCCTAACACATAAACAGTTCACAAATACAAGTGAACCACAACCTGAATGTAACTACCCATCCATCCCAGCTCTTTTACCTAGTTCTTCACCGATCCTCAGGGGGTGGCTTGACTACTCATCGCCTTCTAGAAATACCCAATGAGGAAGAGAGCAAGAGAACTGCTTTTCTCATGTCTGCATTGTTGGATCGGTCCCAATGAAAACTGTGTGTTTAGGCTGATGGAGTTATGAATGTTCTTTCTGGATGAAGCCCAGGAAGGCTTTTTAAATATGTTATTAATGGCTATAAGGCCTGTATTTGTTGGGAGAAGAAACTGTTTGAGTTGGACAGATGGGAGAGCAAAACAATCCGAAATTATAAAAATACATGTAGGTTCAGATATATATTCAGTATTTATTTAAGATATACTGTATGGCCCATTGTGCTGTGCTTCTCAGAAACAGACGATTTTCCTTTTGTCCCTCTGAGATATCATATTTCTGCTATGTTTGGAAGATGACGTTTTTTTGAATCACTCAGCAGTTTGTTGTAAATTTGCTCTTTAATTACATTGTATAATTTTCCTAGTATTATCTCTAGATGAGTATTCACAGTCCGGCATGTTTTCAGTTAAAATCACAGTGCGGCTGAGGATATGATTTCATTTAGATCGTTGACTTCACTGATGTTTAGTTAAACTGCTGCAGAGCTGAGCAGGCTTTATTTTTCCTACCTGCGTTTTACTGCTGAGGGGGACACAGATCACAGCCTACGGCACATCCTGTAAGGAAACATAGGGAAGGAGTTTCAGGAGGGCAGGTGTGGGGGTGGAAGAGGCAGACAGAGCTGTGCTTGGGAAACGGTTCCAGTGAAGTTGTTTCGAAAGGGAACATAGTCAGAAATGCCCTTCACTGCTGACAGGAAAGCTGCCGTTTCCTCAGGTGTGAAGACACTGACATATTTTTTCATATCACTTTTTGGGACTTCATGTATTTACATCTGAGGTGGATATACACTTGGAAATACTTTTTGAAATATTAAAAGCTTATATTTTAGCAGTGGCCATAATAGTAAATTAAAACAAATGAAATAGTAGTACGCTGGATTTTGTTTTTATTTAGTGATTTATTTATATTAGGATTCAAATCTGTATCCCTGTGGGAGCACCACAGCTCTAATGTGCCATGAACATGTGCGCTACTGCTACACCACGACTCCAACAGTAGTGGTTTATTGAATCATTGATTCTAATGAGACTCCTTGTGTCTTTGTTATTTAGACCTGTAGAGTGGTTGTGGTTTATCTTTTAATTTTTGTAAACATTTCATCAGTGTCATTCATAATAGTGACCTCTTAGTGGTTGTACAACAGTAAACATCTTCAGGCAAGAGCTACATTGGCGTTTATACATCTGTGGTAAAAAAAATTTTTTTTATTAAAAAAAAAATAAAAGTTAGTTAACATGAGTAACAGCAATATACTTTAACGATGCTTTAATATTCTTAATAATTTTCTCTCATCACTAACACAGGCGTCAGGATAGAAATTTAGGGAAACTAATCTGCAAACATTGGACATAATCTTTATTGATGTAACCATGAGCGTGTTGAGGCGTGACCGACTTACATTTATGTCAACATCAATTCTGTATTTTGAGTCAAAACACCTTGATGAACACCATGCACATTTATTTATAAAAAGTCTTAAAGGTGCAGTAGCAAAAAATTATTTGCTAATAATGCCATTAAAGTGGCCTTTAACAATCTTCAATTTATAGCTTGTGGCATAAACCACCTTGCACAGTTGGCACTTAGATGTTTATTTTATATAAGGTATTTGTGTTTTTGATTTCATATAAAATTTGTTTGGCTGATTTGTTACTTCTCTTCTGTGAAATAGTGTGTATTGGGTATTGGTTAGTTTAACAGTCATGTGATTAAGTGTCAATATACATTACTGTTAAAAAGTTTGGAGTCAGTACAATTTTTTTTAAAGAAATTATTACAAAATGGTTTGATTGTGACGGTAAATTTTGTTACAAAAAATCTATTTAAAAAGAAAATCTGTTCTTTTAAGCTTTTTATTCATCAATGCTGCAATATTATTAAGCAGTTTTAAACATTGATAGTAATAAGAAATGTTTCTTGAGCACCAAATCAGCATATTAGAATTATTCTGAAGAATCAAATTCAGCTTTGCCATGTCAGGAATAAATCACATTTAAAATATATTAAAATAGTAAACAGTTATTTAAAATTTTTATAATAATATTTCACAATCTTGCTGTTCATTTTACTTCATTTTTGACCAAATAATCTTGGTGAGCTTAAAAGACTTCTTTCAAACATTTTACCGACCACAAACTTTTGAGCGTTGGTGTATATTTATTAAACCATGTACCGTTTTTCATAAATAGTAAAAGTTAGTGTTTGATAAATGCATAGGTGAGCTATATGTATGCTAGACACCACTGACATCAATGTGGTGAATTTAGTGGGTATGAAACCAGGGCAGAGAGCAGTGACTCCAAAAGCAGCTCCTCCACACACACGGGAACACACAGATGCTTGAAGGATGGCAGTAAAGTCAGACAAAGCTCATGTTGTGTCTGCACTGGCGGAGTGTGTTTGTCTGGCAGGTCGCTCCAGCAGTCACCAGCTCCCAGTGGGGGACTTTGAGTATCTAACAACACACTGCAGTGTTCCTGTGTTTCTCCGCTTTTTGGAGCAGCACGGTGGAACGTCACTCTTATTTGGTGATCGGGTGGCTCGTTGGTTTTGGCGGGTAACACTGAGGATACGTGCATATGTGTATGCGTTTATAGCTGGCCCTATGCCATTTATAGCTTTCCCTGCAGTAACAGAAATAAACAGCACCCACAGACTGACAGACTGCACACTTTTGTCTCAGCCTGGATTCCTCAGTGGCAGAGATGTGATATTCCTGTGGCTCCGAGCCAGACAGACAGTCATATACCCCTGTCTCCACATTCTCAACATCTCTCTCACTCTTTGTCCACCTTGTCTTATACATAGCCCACCCCTCCCCCAATCCTCTGAGTCTCACACACGGATGCAATCATGTGCTCGCCCGTGCTGCTGTATGCACTCGTTGGCCATGCTCAGTATAAATAAATTCAGACAGGCTTTGCCTGTCTCTGCATTGGTGTACCCTTACACTCTACTACACTGGCCTCTATAAATAAACACTCTCATCACAGGAAGCAAACATTGAAGGCTGCCCTATACTCTTTGGCTGGGCTGAGAATGAGGTAGGACAGGAAGAAACAGAAAAGGTTGTAATGGTTACATGTGTGTGTGTGTATATATATGTACAGTTTTGAGGCCATTCCCAGCAGTAACTTCCACTGAACAACTCACAAAGTGTTTTACAATTCAAATGAACCATTGTACAGCCGGGTGTGACGTTGAGAGGGAGTTTTCAAATGCGGCTACAACTGTGGAGTAGGTGGTTATGGCATTTCACCTGTTCTAAATGTTTGTTGTGTCTGTGTAGGTGGATTTATTGGAGTAGTCTTTAGACAAATCAATGACCACTAAAAGCGTGTAAGATTAAGAAAATGAAAAAAATATTTTAAAAGTTTAAAATGCATGTGCCAATTTCTTATAAATGTAGTCTTTGTATTCACAGTTTTGTATGGTTTAAAAAAAAAAACTTTTATACAATTACAAAAAAAAAATCGTGAACATGTGCAGTGTACACCTATTGATAATTATTAAGTTTTTACATTTATTTTTTATTTATTATAAGTATGATACATTTATTGTACATTTATTATTATATAAAATTATTATTTATTTATTTTTATTTATTTTTACAAATATTTTAAGCTATTAATCTATCAAATATCATTTTTTTTACTTATCAAAAAAATTCAAGTGACCTGATTTTTTAAAGAAATTTATTGATTGACAGCTATGATGTCTTTTCCTGTTTATCTTCCTCCATGTTTCTGTTTTTTTGCATGTTCTTATATACAGTATATATATATAACAAAATAGTCTAAAAACTACATTTTTTTTTGTGTGTAAAAAATAATAAATACTACTTTTATAAAGTAGTAAGTATAAGTAGTATAATAAAACTACTTTATAAGGTTTTGTTTTCAAGAATCAAGAATTTCAAGAAATGTTTGCTTAAATATGAGTTGCATTTTTTATGTATTTTATAATTAATTGATATGGACTAAACAATTGTGCAGGATATCATTAATCCGTCATTTAGTTGGGCCTAAATCTACTCTGAAAATGCAACAAAAGTCTTCAGGTTCTTTGTGATCTTTTATTATTATTATTATTTATTTTTTGTTTGTTTGTAATATCCATTGCTATTGTGCTGTGCATACATCATAATAACCATACTAACTATGTGTGTGTGTGTGTGTGTGCAGGTTTATCTGAAGGCTCCTATGATCCTGAATGGAGTGTGTGTGATCTGGAGAGGCTCGATTGATCTTCAGCGCTTGGATGGGATGGGTTGTCTGGAATATGATGATGAGAGGGCACAGGTACAGACAAACCACCTTGTGCTGTCAAACTGTTTCATGCCTTGTGTACATCAGAAATGACTGGCCACTGCCTGTTTTCCTGTGGTTTTGTGTGTTTATACAGCATGAGGATGCTCTAGCCCAGGCAGCCTTTGAGGAAACCCGCAGAAGGACTCGTGATTTTGAGGACAGGGATCGCTCGCACCGTGAGGACATGGAGGTGAGAGCTGGAGTGAGTGAGGATGTGTGTATGAGTGTGTGAAGTTTTGATCAGTTAGTGCATGCTGAAAATCCAATATGTTATTATGTTTTAGTCATAATGGAACTCAGGTCTGTGTGTGTGTGTGTGTGTTTGTTTGTATATTATGTGTGTGCATATATGTACATGTGTTTTCAACTTGTGCATGTTCAATACTTCTGTATGTGCTTTTTTTGCATAATCTTTACCTAATTCCTCTTGCTAATATTTTGATTGACAGCCACTTCCAAAATACTTGATGCTTTAAGGAGCAGTTCACTGAAAATACATTTTTTTTGTAGCTCCTGAGCAGGCAGATGATTAAGTGGTGCCACCGGCATCTTTTCTTATGGGTCAAGCTAAAGTGGTAGGGTGAATCTCACAAAATCATGTCTAGATCATATCTCACCCCAAAATAAAAACATAATATTTTGGATAAAGGAAATGAAGACTATTATTAAGACATTTCTGGATTGTCACATTATTTATTCATGACAATTAAGCACATTTTCCCCAAAATATGTCACTATAGTAATGCATCCGGACATTAGACTTTTTTTTTTTCATTAGACTTTTTTTTGTAATTCTTATTATTCTCAAAGATGATTAATATTTTAAGAAATAGTTGTAATGCAGTTTTTTAAACCAAAATTAGAGTATAAGTGATATCTAAATATTTTATATGAATTAAAATAGTAATTATATATATATATATATATATATATATATATATTACAGAAATGAGAATAATATATTTTTAACTATCACTTGCTTATTTATCATGAAAATAATGTAATTATTTATTTATTTATTTTGTTAGCATCCTTGATTTTGTTTTTGAACTTCAGTTTTGAACTTTAAAATCAGTTAAACCTAATGGTTCCATCAATTCTGAAAGTCATGCAAGAAATTACTAAACATCATTTCAACATGAAAATTACTATCTCTGAAAGTCTTTTACTTTGACATTTTTACATGAAAACAGTAGTTGTGAATTCTGTCTCCTTTCAAAATTGCACTGCAGGAGCAGGAAAATAAGTGCTACCTCACAACATTTCTGTCTGTTCCCTGATGTCTTGAGAGCTCTTGACGTAGCTAAACAGCTTGTCTGGGGCAATACTGATTTGATCACTTGTCATTTAGCAGATGCCGATGGCACAGCTCAGTCATTTAATAACTCAGGAGGTAAGACAACAATTTAGGATTTTATGTAGTGAACTGCTGCCTTGATTTTCTATTTACTATAAATTATTCAGAACAAAAACATAATGAAGAAGGGCATGTGTTTTTCTTAGTAATTTGTATGTATGCATGCATATATGTACTCTTTGTGTACGTGTAAGCTATTGAAGTGCTTTACTTGTTTACTCATGGCTTAGTGCATGAAGTGTCTTTGCATTGTAAGTCCTCAAATATAATCATTCTACAGTCAATCCAAACTGCACTCTTAAGATGAAAACCAAATTGTGTTTTTTAGGACCCTGTGGCATCAAAAATCTGGGACTGATGGCTTTCAAGGACCAGGGTCTGTCTCCTCTGCTTCTCTCTATCCTTGTGTCATGCACTAAACCGTGTCTGTCTGTAAGTGTGTGTATGTGTGTGTGTGTTTCACAAGAGCATGTGCATGAAAGAGCATCTCTGTGTCTTTATATATTCTACTCTGTGTGTGTGTCTATATGTGTTAGTGAGTAAATATACTGTAGGTGTGTGTTTTTTTTAAACGAGTGAGATTTCAGGCTTCTATAAGCAACTTTGAGCTGCGGGTCTAATATTGTAAGCACTAAAAAAAAGTTCTACTGGCACAAGAGACCCCCATCTCGCTCTTCACAGACCTCTGTAATGGAGACCAGACTTCTATCCCAAGATTCCTCACTGCCCCGCCCACCCACTCCCCTGCTGCAAAGCCCTCTGGGAGCTCTCAGGCACAGCTTGGCAGCACATGACCAGAAAGATCCCCCTTATGAACCGCAGCCTTTATATTCCTCCCTCCTAATCTACACCCTCAGGCGTTGCTTTACACACTCTTCATCCTCTCTTCCAAAATCAATCATGCCAAGGTCTCTTTTTTAAATAGATCTGGCTGCTTATGAAAATCAAATTTCTTACTCATTGCAGTCAGGCGATCTGTGACTCACGGGCCAAATGTTTTTCCCTCAAAGCTCAAAGTCACTTTGAGCGGTGGAAAAATGAAACCCTGTAATTATTCTATAATTCATGCTTTCTCATCCCAGCAGTGTGGAGTCTGACCCTCGTTCAGAGCTTTTTTTCGAGTTGCACTGTACGGTCGGCTTTATTTTGGAAAGCGAATAATACTTGAGCTCGGATTGTACCTTGAGCCTTCACGCTGTGCAATGGTCACATAGCTGTGGTCAAATCTTAAACTCTATCATCTGTAATTGGATAAAAACCAGCACAATAGCAGTCTGGATCAGCAGAAAGCCAGAGTTTTCTGGGAAAGTGGGCCAGGTTTGTTTCGAAAGGACGTACAATGCATTTAGAGACTTAAAAATCACTTATGACCTTGCTGAGAGACAAAAAGGAACATTTGCTGTGCGTAAACACTTATTTGTTCTCTCTCGGTGTGTCTTAATGCGGTTCCATCACTGTTTGTCTATGCAGGGAGTCCAAGGGGGCGAATCAAAGCTGAAAGATATCGAAGAGTGTAATGGCCTTCTGCGTGATAGATGGTAAAGAGATGGATGAAAAATAGATTGGCCATTTTTCATGAAACCCAGGCCTTTACTGCAGGTGGGATTAGAGCATGAGTTATGTTGGGCCAGTGAAAGTATTAATATGTCATTAGTATTGATCTTTTTCATTAGCAGTGCTGTCTGCCCAGCAAAATCTAAGCACTATTGACTTGTGGTACAGGAGAGTGCTTCAGCTGGGCTCCGTATGATCGATGCTGCGTCCTCTCATCCACACAAACACACTTTTTCAAAGCTTAAATACTACAGAGCAAACATTTTTGAGCTTTATAAAGCCCTATAGATAAATATATATAACATCTTCTGCAGTTTGAGTTGTGCTCGTTTTTGTGCAGCATTTTTATTATTTATTACCCTACTGAAAAAAATTAATGAATTAAAATTTAAACCTAGCTGGTTTGTTGGGCTTACCTGGTCAGCCTGGTCTGTTGGCTGTTTTTTTTTACAGGGTTTGGGGTGTTTTTCAACTGGTTATGGTGCTAGACCATCTGGCCACCGAGCAACTTAAGAGACCAGCTGAAATCAGCTAAGACCAGCAAACCAGATTGTGTTGGTTTAACCTTTTTTTTCTTCAGCAGGGTGATATCTGATCAACATTATTGTGACTTTTCACGTTTGTTTTAAAATATAAAAATACATAAATAATAACATTTCAGAAATAATTAGAATAAAAGTATATACCAGTAAAATAAAAAAATATATGCTACTTTTCTAAAGTAAGTAAAGATGTTTACCAAGGCTGCATTTATTTGATTCAGTAAAAACAGTAATATTGTCAAATATTATTACAAATTAGAATAACTGCTGTCTATCTTAAAATATTTTAAATTGTAATTAATTCCTGTGATGGCAAAGCTGAATTTTCAGCAGTCATTACTCCAGTCTTCAGTGTCACACGATCCTTCAGAAATCATTCTAATAGGCTGATTTGGTGCTTAAGTAACATTTTTATCAATGCTGACAACAGTTGTGCTGTTTAATAATTTTGTGTAAACGTGATACATTTTTTTTGTATCCTTTGAGTACAAAGTTCAAAAGAACAGCATTTATTTAAAATATATATATTTTTTGTAACATTATAAATGTCTTTACTGTCACACTTGCATTTACATTTATTCATTTATCAGATGCTTTTATCCAAAGTGACTTACAAATGAGGAATACAACAAGTGATTCATCATAAACAAGCAATTTAATTGGTCCCTGCTGGAAAAAAATGTCTTACTGATCTCAAACCTTTGAATTGTAGTGTATAAATAACAAGCAACGCATTACTAGACAAATACGTTTAATTCTGCAGTTCATCGAAATCATCTAGAGCTAGCTAAAGCTTATTGTTGACAGTAAGTTTATGCACTAGACTGTTTTGTTGCTGTGCGCATGAAAGCTATAACAGCTTCATCTGTTAATGCATACGCTTAAAGATGGGATTCCCATGCGTTGGGTCGAGTAAAAACAGCCTTGCGTAGCTCTAGGGTTAGAACGTGCTATAATCGCCGGTTCCACAGATGATGACCTCACACTATGTGAGATACACTATGTCTGCCTCTTCGTCTATCTTTCTCTCACCATCTGCCTGTCTGTCTGTCCGTCCGTCTGCCCTGTCTGTGCTCAGACATCTATGTCAGGGAGAGATTTAGACATAGGCACATACACATATGCATCTGTGACAAGGCCATCAGTCATATCTTTATTTTTAAGGCTAGTGATTTGAAGACTTCCCCCTGACTAATGACTAATGTCTGCCACTTCAACCAAAAAAAGCAGTTCAATTTTTAGCATTTAGACTGAAGTTGATCTCTGCCGTCCCCTGCTGGAGACAAAGAGCAGTTGCATGTGGGCTGCAACCTATTACTGGTATTGTTTGTAGTTTGAGAACGAACATGTGAGTGACTCAAGCACAGCACAGCCATTTTAACTGTATTCTGTCTCTGTCTCGGTTTGTTTGTTGGGTTGCGTGGGTGTTTGTGCATGTTTTTGCATGTGTGACTGTGTGTGTGTGTGTGTGTGATGACCCAGCCCAGGCGACAGCAGGACCCAAGCCCTGGCTCCAACATGGGCAACACTGATGATCACAAGATGCGCTAGCGGCATTCACCAAAGTGGGCAGGGATAGAGTCATAAGACCTCCAACACCACAGCAATCTCATCTCCTGATGCCTTGTTTATCACAGGACAGACCAAAGTCCACACCGGTGGGGATTTTTGGATGGGATGTTTGGTGAAGGGGCTGGGTGGGTTGGGCTGGGCTGGTATTGATGTGAGTCAGAGATTAATTTGCATTTGATTTAGTCCCTCGTTTATTCTTGGGATTTTTGCACTATGTGATACGTTCAGTTTAAGTCCCCCATATCGCCTTTCGGTATGCATGGTTTTCCTACCTATGTTTGCTCTTGTTCCCCCCTATGCAAGGCATCTTATTTTATCCTATTGTAATGAAATGGCATTTTTTAATTATTTTATTCGTATTGTGTGTGAAAGTCAGGATGTTTACTTTTTGTATTTTCATTTCCTCTATACTGTATATAAACCTGTCTGTCCTTGTGCTTTGTAAGAGAAACAAGTAAACGTCGTTAGGTAGATTTGTGCAGTAGAGTAGAACTTTTTTTTTTTATGTCTAAAAAAAGAAAAATCTAGAAAGAGGCTGCTGATGTTGTGAATGAGGAGGTATTTTCTTTTACCATCCTTCTCTATGTGCTCTGTCTTCCACTCTCTTCCTGTTACAGTCAGTTGAAGCATGCTTTGAACGTGAACTGAGCAGCAGGAAGTGAATATTGAGGTCAGTGTTACCCTGAGCGTGCTCTACACAAAATGAGGCAGAGATTCGTTTTTTCACCCTACATCTGCTTTTTCTTTCATTAATGTCTACGTTTTACCTATTTAGTTTGTTTTAAGCAGGATTTTCAGTTTTCCTACATATTTTATTTTATTTTACTCTGGAATTCTTAAAATGAATAAATTTTTCAGACACTGAAGACAATTCTCCAAAAAAGGAGAATTTTTCACTTCGCTAAATATATATATATATATATATATATGTGTGTATGTATGTATGTGTGTGTGTGTGTGTGTGTGTGTGAGTATATATATGTGTGTATATATATATATATATATGTGTGTGTGTGT